CTCCGCCTTGCAATATTAAAATGAGTATCCAAATGAGTCGACAGTCTGTGTCGGGCATTGCCAATATTAATTTACCCGATGATGCGTCACAAATCGTTTTCGTGAGAGAAGGCAAGGATACCCGGACAGAAGAAGTGTCGTGCGAGTTTGCAAATAGGTTGCAATCAGCAGCCGGTTATTCAGGAGGAGGACGCTGGCGGAATCTCGTCACGATGAGAATAATTAATATTCATCGACATCGGCCAGGTACCGACCAAGGCGGTTTTATCTTCTTCAAAGTTTCATCGCTTCTGTTATCAATATTCTCTTTATTTCATGCCTTTTCATCTTGTCTCGTTCTCGCCGACATCCAAGAAAATGGAAGATTCTTCTTTCCCTTCCAATCGCACAGCCATCTTTCATCTCCAGCCATTCTGAGAGTAATCCCTAAAATCTAATAATCTTAATCGTACGTTTGATCCCACCGTGGCGTCGTTTGATGTAAAATCGTTGCTCCAGAAACATATGATGGTTTCATTCCACCACTGACTGTTCGCCTATTTTTGTTACGTGCTGTATGTACGTACACGAAGCGTGTAGAAGGGAACATGCACGATGAGAGCAGGGTGCCAAGCCATCCGTGGGCGTTCCGGCCGATTCGCTCGGATAGTCTCGAAATGATCCGAAGAAGTTGGACTTTCCCATGGTGTGTACCGCCATTGACAGGTGGGCAAGTGTATCAAGGAGGATCCTCCAAGTATTGTTATTGCAAAGAAAGTAAACCGCACACCACCGCCACCCTACCGTCGGAGTTGGGACCTTCGATTATTAATGGCAGCGATGGTGGTCGCTCGTCCGTGCAACACGGCCGCAGAAGTGTGCATCCGGTTTTCTACCGGCGTGCTCGTTCTTCTCTACAGCCTCCTAGAAACCTCGTGCTCGTGTTGCCACCATGCTGCAACACCGGAGCGGACGACCTTGCGCCGCCCGTAAGAACAAGAACCTTACAAACGCCCATCATGCTTGAAGGGATCTTATCTCTCGTTTCTTTCCTTTCCAAATTTTTCTTCCTTTTTTTCCTCTTTCTCGATCAACAATGTTTCGTCAAATCGACGGACAAAGTGTGAAATTGGCTCGGCATCCTCGGTCGGGTTATCACTTCCGCGGTCGGATTATTCTTTTTTTTCGAATCAATACTTTCAATCACGATTTCAATCATCCGTCTAGAGCTTCAAATTTTATCAAATCGTATTTCACTTGAATGGAAGAAAAAAAATTGAACTATCCGCTTGTATAAAAACCGATTTGTTCAGCTAAACCGATAATACGTCGTTTAAAATAATAGCCGTAGGAATAAACATAAGGAAGAGGGATGGTGTTTTTCCGATTCGCATACTCCAAGATCGACCGCATCCCATTTTCTCTGTCTACGATATCAAAGATTGACGCTTCTTGCATCGCGTCTCGCAAGTTTTTTCCTGTCCTTCTTTCGGTTTCCTACCTTGACCGGTGGTTTTTCCTGGTCTGTTTGGCCAACTGTTACACGTGTGCTGTAAATGGAAGCGCAAAAGCAGAGAGGAGAACGGAACCGATACCCATTACGCCCGTGGTTAGTTTATTTTGCGGCTTTGCGCGTTACAGATCTTACTATAATATTCCTTTGTACTTACAGCGGCGGGATTCCCTCTTATTATACTTTTTATCGCGCCGACATTACACGGTGCGTCCTATTTCTCCCCAGTTCTTCTTTCTTCTGTCTCGTCTCGCGTTCTCACCTTCGCCACGTTCGATTCCCTTTAAAACCCCCTTCAGTTTCGTTTCGCGATACCGTACCCTATATTCTTGCGGCTCAGATTCAAACGCGAGCCGGATAGTTTCAATCTGCGTACATTCCGTTTAAGATGAACAGTTTTTGCTGATCGTTTCGATTTACGCTTAGTTGTATCTTGCTTGGGAAACGTTTCGACGGATGGAAAAGAAGAGGAAAAGAAAAGATTGGACATAAATGCCGATCGGTTCGTTATAAAACCCTCCTGTTCCCTGGGAATCGGCGCCAAAGGGCGGGATGCTTAATTGGGAGAGTTTACGCGGTGATTTCGAGCCCCACTTCGTTTGCTCGTTATCGATGATGAGAATCTTGTAGATGTTAATGTCGATTTTACTGTATCAGTCCGAAGCATGAGAAGCATGGTTACGCGTAAGGGATAAACGATTCTTTACCGATGCTTCTTTGCTAATTATCTTGTTTGCCACAGAGAAGTTCGATACTTAACAAGCTTCTTTTTCCAGTAGTATCTTAACAGAATTCATCCTGGATGGATTATAATTTTCAACTTTTAACTGCGCGTTGCTAATTATTTATGATAATTAGGAAAAAATCGAGGATAGCAGACATTAGCAACTAGTTTTTGCTAAATTTCTTTTAATATTTTATATAATATCAAGGCCGTATTCTTTAAAACACGATAATTAGTATGTATAATATACTAATCAGTTAAAAAAACTTGCAGTCTACAACTAAAAAATGAAAAATCTTTCAGATAGGAATTGTTTGAATCGTCACCAAAATTGATCTGGTTTCTTTCGGCCAAGATAAATGAAACCTAGCGCGCGGTATTCAGCGATGCACCTGCATCCGATGGTGCATGCTAACAGAAGTTGGCACAGCGGCCGGTGCATTCCGAGCGCGGACGGTGCGAAGGACCGCGAGCTACGATCAGGCAGCGGTGCATGCGTTATCTGGGGACCTTTCGATACGCAATATAATAACATATCGCGCGTACGCGGCCACGGCCTGTACCCACCGCATAAACTCTCAAATGACTCACAATGAATAGCCCATATCGCGGAATCATCTGCATAGTACAAGCACGGCGCGCTTCCCTCGTACTATCCATATATACGAGCAACAATATCCCGTATGCTTTCCATAACGAGTCGTGGTACGGACCGACGACGACGACGACGACGACGACGACGAGGACGACGATGACCAAGAGAAGAGGAAGAGCGGAAAAAAAGAAAAAGAGTAGAGGATTCTATGGCCCGCGGCTATTGTGACCCACGCATCGCCCTGCTAACTCTTATAACACCGTTCTTCTTCTTCTTCTTCTTTTCCTACGTCCGTTCCGACCGACCTTCTCTTCTCTTCTCTTCTCTTCTCTTCTCTTCAGCTTCATCGAGAACGCGTTCTGCCAGGCGACTCCCTCGCAGGCACTCGCGTGGGCTGTCGAGATTGGGCTAGGTCGGTTACATGCTTACGAGTGCATCATGCCATCCGGCTCTTCGGCACGGGCACACGCGTGCTGGCTGCACTCACACGTCCCGATCTGATCCATCCTCGACTATGCGCGCACGTGCTCCTTTATGCATATATTTACGCGTGTATATACAGGAAGAAGCATAATTGAAAGCGTCGTTTACTTCTAGTAACAATATCTATCTTCGAAAACGTTTTCCATACGAAACCCTATTGTATCCTATAGCTTATGATACAAGTCCATCAAATCCAACTGTTATTCAAAAATCACCACTTTCGTTCCTCGGCTGGTATATTTGAATTTCACCTTGTCTTACCATCAAACACTTACCATTGCACTTGCTTGCACCGAAGCGTTGCATACGTACACGCGCGTGCTGCTCCCTTGTTGCACGCATCTCTTGTACATAAACCCCTCCCCCTCTGCCCTTTTCGCAGCGAACGAGCTCGTGCCCTTTGCACGCACACCTTTCTATACACGCGTGAACGTGTTCGAACGTGTGTCATACGAGGAAAGCTGTGCACGCTAGCGCGCAGGGCCTGTTCATCCTCGGCGCATAACTCTGCAACATTAAACCGTCCGCCGTAGGTCAGCGTAGATTACGCATAAATCCAAGGGAGAGGCAATTTACGACGTCAACTGACACCCCTTTTAACCCCGTAGATTTTCTCCGCCTTTGTCCGACCGAGCAACACTTTTTGGCGGGAACTGGAAACCTATTATGGTGCGACCAGTTTCGTCGCGACTAACGACCAAAGGGTGTGGCGACACTAGTCCGAATATGACTTTTAATTAACGAAAGAATAATACAACGTGATTTTTTTAAATAAAGAATTTATTTCGATTCAATCGTACATCTTAATATCAGATTGTTCGGTTCGCAAGATCGATCCAGATTTCGCAATTTCGAAGATAACGTAGCTGGACTACCAGCTAGGGAACCAAAGTACATTCTCCTTGTTGAAAATTACGCTTCTTTGCCAAGATACGTTTCCTTGGAACAGAAACACGGATAGAACGTATCGTAGCGGGTGTTTTCTAGGGTATCGATGAATAAACAGCAGAATTGCGATAAAACGCCCGAAGCGTATCGGTTCTCGGCGCGTTATGCATGCGAGAGAGCAAGGGTAAATGACGGAGGTGGCAGCGTTGATGATGGTGGTGATGCAAAACACGATAATAATAATGACGACGTAGAAGTCGTCGGGAATGAAACGGACACGCGTCTACCCGAGTTTCTTTTCAAGCTTCGCTTCGGACACTCGACGGTCTCTTGCGATCTCAACTAGCTCGAACAACGATCATCGTTCCCTTTAAAATAGTTTCACGTACCATCGTTATCCTTATTTAATCCCTTAGCATTTGACTGTAACCGGTGGACCGATCGGATGGATCGCAGAAACAAAACTCGAACCCCTCCAGCTACCGATACGCGAATCAAGTTATACCACCCACGTAATTCATCTCCGATCCGATTACCTTCGCAATGGCTTCTATTTGCTGTTCCCCAACTGGCTGCTGCTGCATCCTGGATCTTAATGCACCGGACTATCTGTGTTACCACTTTTCCTCCCTGTCTAATGAATCATCCTTAATCCCCGGTCCGGCGCACAGATTCAGACAGGTTGATTCTGAAAAATCTTTTCAAATACAAACAATAAATAATTGTACGATATACTACGCGCTGTATACGCTCGAGACGCTTCGTTGTAAATGCGAATTCTTGTACATCGGTACATAGAGTTTTTCATGGGTTCGCAGGAGGAGTACAGCCAACGTAGACGCTTATCCACTCCCAGCGGCAGTCCCAGTCCGCCCAGGCCGACCAGGCTGTCAAGATCCACCGGTACACTCACCAGAGACGAGGATTCCTTTCGCGAGTCGAGCAACACCCTCACCAGGGAGAATCAGGGACAGGAAGCTGAACGTAAGGGCTGGTTCAAGTCTTTGTCCAGGAAGAACAAACCGAGCATCAAAGTAAGTCAGTTTTTTAAACATAAATATTTCAAAATCGTTTGTCACGAAAGAAATGTAGCAATTTAAAGGAAAATTTGAAAGGAGGATATAAATGGTTGGAAGTTCTTTAACAAATCCTCCGGTATCATAAATTCGAGGAGAAAAGGTGTATTTTGTTCGCGTGGATGAGAAAAATGACGAGTATCCTCGCTGGTTTCGAACCGTGGCGCCTTCGTGAGTCATGATACTCTTCAGCCTATCGACTTATCCGATAGATCATCGTCCACGGTGAGATTCACGCGCACGCAATCATCTGTGGCCGGGCTTGTATCGAGGAACGGGCACGATCGGAATCGAACTCTGACAGAGATTATTCGAGGTTGGACGATGGTTAAGCTAGGCAGCCTGCCTGATCGGCACTTAATCTCGCGATTAAATTAAACCACAGAGCGCGGAGTTAGTTAAGCATTTAATCAAACTGGTAATTGGAGGTTGTACTGGCCTAATGGCTCCGCTCTGTAGCGACCTGAGCTGACTGATGAATGCACCGGCTCACTCAACTCGCCGCGAACCCGATAACCGGACCCACGATCCGCTCGTCTGCTCGTTATCGGATGATAGTTTGAAAAAATTCTACTACGGCTCGAGTCCTGCTTGTTTTCTGCTTCTGCGGTCGAGTAACAAAGCACGGGCGCGAGCCAAAAAATTAAACGTTTTATAATAATTATTTTTCTCTTTTTATCAATGAAATTTTTCTGATTCGGAATCGACTAAGAATTCGAGGAGCTTGCCTTTTATGGTGAGGAAAAACGGACTACCTAAATGACTACCTTGCGGGAATTCTTTAATTTACCTCGCGTACGTGTATCCCGTCACCGTGGAGGCGTTTATCGTGGTATTATGCATGCAACATAGTTTCGAGGTACAGAATCCATTCTCTACAAAAACATCGCCCACTCGTTACCACTTTCGGAAGCGAGTCAAGTTTTGCGGCTTTCGATTGCTTTAGAGAAACCGTTTCGGACGGATGATGTCACGTACAAGAATATTTTATGTTACACCACGTATTTCGATCACCGATGACAATTTCAAAGATCCTCGTTAATCGTGAATCTTGATATTTCTAGACGGTGGATAAGAAACCGAGGATACCGGAAAGCGAGATCTTAACGACCGGTACCGAGGACGAGGAAGCTTCGTCGGCACCCGAACGAGTCTCCGTGCAGAAGAATCTACGTTTCTTCGGCGATACGGATCAAGAGTCCGTTTCTTCCAACAGAGATCGCAGGTGAGACGAGATACGAGATCGCGAAACTTTCCAAACGATACGATAAATCGTTACAATTGAGAAAGTATAACTTCTTTTCACAACTGACCGCTGAATTCACGAGAATGTTAACGATTATAAATATTTCAGAAACAAACGAGCCGACGACCATGCCTGTTCAGGGCGTGACGTTACGAATTCGAACCGACATAATTTAGGCATTCTATCGCCACCCCGGAAACCGCCGAGGCTCGCCGAGAGCGCGCTGTCTTCCGGCGAGAGCACAACGGGAGACAGTAGCCAACAAAGTCAAAACTCCCAAAGGTCTCAAAGATCTGTTGTATATCTTCACGCTGCTACAGGTAAATTTCTATCCAGCCAGAGCTGAATTATTTACTGGTCTTTTATTAATTATTATACACCGATGATTATTGGTGATCATCGTTGACGTTAAGGTATTTTTAATTTAATTTAATTTAATTATAATATCAAACGTTCAAATAAGCTAAATGCGAAGATGTTTTTCAGTCGGTGAAATACCCGGACCAAATGAACGACGCAAAGCAGCTAGCAGGGAGGAACTAAATCGACCCTTGCAATCTCATACGAGGACGGTATCGAGAAGCGTGAGCGTTCTCGCACCGTGGAAGCCTCGACATTATAGGGAACCTTACGAAATAAATTACGATCAACAACTGCATACGAAACCAGTGGCGACTATGAGGCGCAGGCAAAGAAGTCGCGAAACGCTTAGTCGTCGAGGTAAAGAGCCGCGACGAAGTAAGGATAATCTCTCGAAAACAGGTAATTTATAAACTGATTATCTCAGAAATTAACTGAAACCGGATGTATTGCTGTAAATAATATAAAGGACTGAGATAGTAAGTTAACCCGGGAAGCGTTAGGTCGGATATGTCATAGCCGGAAATTTTTTTTAAATTTTATTAAAAGTCAATTTAGTTAATTTATCAATTGATTCATTGAAAGAGTATTTAAATTAAATAATTGAATAACATGAAATGATATATACTCCGGTATGTCATATCCACCTAACGCTCGTCGGGTTAATATTAATTACTAATTAGTTATGAATTGTGTTGCAGGCACGATCAATCGCAGCACGTTGAAATCGAAGGACAAGCAAAAGGTGGACAGAACCGTTTCCACAGAATCGTTGGCCACTAAATCAAGGAACGTCAACACGAAACCAGAGCTAAGCAGGTCCACATCGGTTCCACGCGATCCAAACAAGAGCGCTGGATGGTTCAAGCTGAAAAGCAAGAAATCTCGGGCTTGAAGAGGAGGCCATTGATCAATGCTAGTCTTGAGTTTCATATTAAGTAATTCGTAATCATAAGAGATACATAAGCGTCAAATAGGCCGCCGTGTTCGAGGTGAATTATTCTAAATCAGCTATTTTATTACCGTTTCTACTCTTTCTTCGTTTCTTCTAATGTAAAATGAAACTCGTGCAACGCGTCCAAGAGCACGAAGGAATTAATTAATTAATTAACCGAATACAAGAAAGTTGGAAAAACGTTTATCCACACTAATCGCAACTAAAAGAATAATGTAAAATTTCAATCGCGCCTGTAGATTCCACGAACCGGATTATATTTTAATGAATTTTGCGAAGAACAAATTAACACGTCCACGTGCGCGTTCATAATGATATGTAATATGTTCTCTGGATATGTATACATACGCGTTACGCGTTAAACGTTATTAAACATTATCTTGATCGTCTTGTTTTTCTTCAATTAACACTATCCTTTTTTTTCATCATGCGACAATAATAAAAAAATTGATATTACCAAGAGAAAATTTATGAAAAATGTACGAGCGGAATGTAGAAATACATTAATATGTTACCTTTTACATAATGGAGCCGTCTCTCTACCAAATTTAACAAATTAAATTTGCTGTGTGAGATGAGAACGGATTCAGAGTTGTACATAATTTTCGTCTCATAACACACCTGTTACTTATCATTCACCAAATTCATAACACGTGATTAAATTACTCTTCAAATGTGTTTGTAACAAACTGTGAATGTGAAGCGTGTGGTTTATAAAAAGTAAAAGAGAAAAAGAAAGAAAAATACTTCATTCAATTCACCGTGAATCAGAGTGCCATTTCCGTTTTCCTAGGTATGTACACATCGTTCCAAGTAAAATCAAAATTTCCGAACGCGTTAAATATTTCAATCTGTTGAATGTAACAGGCAATACGTGTTAAGATAAGCGATAGTATAATAGTGTGAAAAGAGAAATAGTTGTGTTGCAGCAATCACATCAGGTTGTACAAGAGGATATCCAACAGTTAAATGTATAATTATAAAATGTTTATTGTGCATAGATCGATTTGATCTTACTTACATACACTAATTGTAAATATTTGTAATAATAATCTTTGTTTCTAACTACTTTCATATTGCTTTATTGTGTCTCCACTTAATCTATTCTCTTTGATTATTGATCATTAAAAGTTACAGTTACTCCAATTTCATGAAAATAAATAAATTTTACGTGGTAATTAAAACGGTCACATGAACAGGTTCATTTTCATTTGGTGCTCTTTATTACTTTACATGTATGTACAAACAATTATAATTCACGTGTAAATATTATACTAACAATTCATATGAATCAATCAATAAGTTTATATTATTTATAAGCATAGTTATTATTTCTGTAATATAAGAAAAAAAAGTTAATAGTTTAAAAATTAAAATATTCAGTTGTGCCCTCTACGTACGGCCCTGATCTCATCCTGGGGTGTCAGGGACCCCGAAGCACTAGTGGCGCTCAGTGTATACCGACCAGGTTCCATCCTGGGGTGTTTAGGACCCCGAAGTACCATTGACTATCTCTTCATATCGAAACACCGTCCGGGGTGTCAAGGACCCCGAAGTACGGGTGGCGCTCTGAGCATACCGACCAGGTTCCATTCTGGGGTGTCTAGGACCCCGAAGCACCATTGACTATCTCTTCCTATCGAAATATCGTCCGGGGTGTCAAGGACCCCGAAGCACAGGTGACGCTCTGTGCATACCGGCCAGGTTCTATACTGGGGTGTCTAGGACCCCGAAGCACCATTGACTATCTCTTCACATCGAAATATCGTCCGGGATGTCAAGGACCCCGAAGCACTGCTGACGCTCTGTGCATACCGGCCAGGTTCTATACTGGGGTGTCTAGGACCCCGAAGCACCATTGACTATCTCTTCACATCGAAATATCGTCGGGGTGTCAAGGACCCCGAAGCACTGCTGACGCTCTGTGCATACCGGCCAGGTTTTATACTGGGGTGTCTAGGACCCCGAAGCACCATTGACTATCTCTTCATATCGAAATATCGTCCGGGGTGTCAAGGACCCCGAAGCACTGGTGACGCTCTGTGCATACCGGCCAGGTTTTATACTGGGGTGTCTAGGACCCCGAAGCACCATTGACTATCTCTTCATATCGAAATATCGTCCGGGGTGTCAAGGACCCCGAAGCACTGGTGACGCTCTGTGCATACAGACCAGGTTCCATCCTGGGGTGTCTAGGACCCCGAACCACCAATGATACTCTGTATACCGACATGACGACATCTGGGGTGTCTGGGACCCCAAAGCGCCATTCACTGTTTCTGCATATCGAAACATTGTCCTGGGGTGTCAAGGACCCCGAACCACCGGTGATTCTCTGCATACCGATAAGATGGCAATCGGGGTATCAAGGACCCCGAAACAGAAAATTAAGGATAGCGCAAGATACTGTATATATAAAATAAAACTCCAAGATTAATTTTATTTTTTTATTTCAAGAATTTCAATATACTTTATGTATTTGCAAATTTTACACTGAACACTTTGTTTTTTAAATAATTATTATTAACAGTAGTAACTAAAATGTTATTGATTATCTATTAATTTTTAGTTAATACTTAATCAGTAATAATATTATGTTTCATAGAAATTGGTTTTTAAATATTTCAATCACACTTTAAATGTTAAAACACTAAATCTGAACAGTTTTATCCATTTTATCCCAACAACAAAGAACTGTTCCAATTAATATCAATATCATCCCCATGTACATATCTAAAAAATAATTTAAAAAATGCATCACTATTATAATACTTATTTAAGGAATAAATACCAAATAATATACCAACTTCGGTGTATTTTTTCTTCACCTAAGAACCAACCAGTTATTGCAGTTATCACAAATGTAAGAGAATTAGTGACTGGTACAGCCAGGGATATATCTGCATTACTTAAACTTAAAAAATATAATAAAGAGCCTCCTTGGTTGATGATAAATGGTATAATGTACTATACAAATGAAAATAATTAATACACCACAATAGCACATTTATAAGATAATAGAGTTATGAAAAAAACCTTTAACTGTGTAATAAGAAATCCAAGCTCCTTAAAAAATTGACCAAATTTAGAAGATGATTTCACATTTTCTAACCCTTTAGCTCCTCTTTTAATAAATGGATTGGTTATACCCCATAAAAGTGCTACAAGAGTAAGGTATATAATAGAATCTGTAAAGTATATAAAATTGTTAATTAATTATTGTATTTCTTGATATACAACAAGTGTTTTCAAGATCAGGAAATAGTTAAGGTAACTCTTACCTAAAGCCATTGACATCGTGATTCAATATTTCAGAGACGATAATAGCGCCATCTATCGGAAAGTAGCGGAAGCAACTACCGTAGTCGGTAAGTTGTCAAGTAGTTTGAGCCGTTTTTGTATAGATGGCGCTGAGACTGAATTTTAAAATTAATTTATAGCGGTCTTTTTAAAATACATTATCAAGCCATTATTTTAATAATTTTTCGGTCTTGTGCTGCTTTTGAGTGATTGCTAAAAAATATAGAATCAAAGGTACTAAAAATTGTGTCTTTTCAGTTGTGAGTGCGAGATGTGATAAGAGAGGGACTGGTAAAACAAGCACGAGTATCATACTAACGATAAGTGTGCTATGTATATCCATCTTTCATAACAATACGATGACGTTTGTGTTCATTTATATATAATAGAATAAGAGATTTTTCTATTTATTAGTAATAAGGCGGTATCAATGTTTAATAAATTAGCCAAATACTTTACTTCTAATTGAATCATTATTATTGCTGTACAAAGGTATATATTAACACTCTTTCGCAGTTACATATAAAATGTAACCTATCTAATGTTAAATACTATTTATTAATTGTTTACCGTTTTACTTGTTTTACTAATATTTGTTATCTTTGTAGATGGATAATAATTTGCCTCTTCCATCTGAAAGAATGCCAAATTGTTGGAATGATGAGGAAAGAATGAGTGCTTTATTTTCACCTTTTCGAAGTAAATCAGCTAATCCCCAAGATTGGGCATCTAAATACAAATTTTGGCAAAACTTAATATATGAATGGTTGAAATATACTATGAGAAGTAGTTTTTCTATTGCAGATTTAAACAGTGCTTTTAAAAGAAAAGGCTGTACACCACTTTGCCTTATAACGGTTGTTGAAGAACTCTACAGGTAATATTTTTCTTATTCTTAATAACCATTTCAATTTGAATTAGTTTGTCAAATTTAACCATTTCTTATTTTAATTAAAAATATTTTATCATTACTTATTAATTTACCTATTATTACAGGAATAATGAAATAATCTCAGAAAGTGAATTTTTAAAAGAACCATGTGATTCATGGGCAGCATGGTCAGTTGACTTATTTGTAAAAAGACCACTTTCATGGTCATTTTTAAAAGTTAAAAGTTATATTGTGAATAATGAAGTTAATAAAGAAAGTAGATACATACATTTGCAAGTTATCAAAGAATTAGGAAATACTTTATTTACAATTCTAGAAGAAAGGAAAGAAAATATTCTTGTACCATTTTCTGAGATATTAAATGACTGTAAATGTAAAATAAATAAAAATATATCAGATAATACAGTGATGTTAATTTTAATATGGTTAAGACGTGAAAAGAAAATAACTTTTAGAAACAGTGAAATTGAAAATGAACTGTTAATTAAAATTGTTGTGCAATCATTAGATAGCATAACAGAATTTGATGAAGGATTATATAAATTAATCAAACAAGAAAATGAACTTATAAAGGAAATAGAACTGATGGAAAAAGAAAAGATTAATATAATTAATGAAACTAAGTCATATTTAACTAAGGGATTACGACAAGTGGCAAAAACACATTTACGAAAAAAGAAAAAATTAGAAGATACTATTGAAAAACGGGCACGAACTCTTGAAAATATTCAAAATCTTATATCAAGTATTCAAAATACTCATACAAATACTGCTGTATTATCAGCTTACAAAACAGGATCTGATGTACTGAAGAAACTCAATGAAAGTTGTTTATCAGAATCCAATGTTCGAGATATTATGGATGATTTGTCAGAAGTAAGCACTATTTAAAACTTAAACAATTATTTCTTTTGTCTATTAAAAGTATTCAATTACATTAATAATAAATTTCAGGCTTTAGAAGAACAGAAAGAAATAGAATGTATATTATCTGAAATCATAAAAAGCGACGATTCAAATACTGACTTAGAACAAGAATTAGCAGAGCTAATTGAATGTGATAAAAATGTTTTACCTTCTGTACCAGATACAGACTTAAGTTCTATTAATGAGCTTGAAGATAAGTTAAATAATTTACATATGAGAGGTAAGAGATTTATAATATTATGTACAATTATGTACAATGTTAATATTTTTTTATTGTAGATGCTGCAGTAACTAATATACTATCTACGTCATCAAAAAATAAACAAAATAAAAAAGCATTAGCAAATTTGGAGTGTGCGTAAAATATACACGCGGAATAAAACCCATAAAACCACAACATTAATTGATTTTCATAAGTAACAAGTTTTATCTTCTGTGATATTTACAGAGTGTAATTTTGTGTAATTTCGAATGTTTAAAAATATCGTATAATGCCTTCTAAACCTTATTTTTTTATTCAAAGTAATACTTGTAATAAAATATTGACAAGAATTTTAGATAAGTATGGTTTATGACTTTTAAAGTTCATTATTTAATTAAATTTTAAGAAATGTATCACTTTAGATTTAAGTTTGTTTAAAAATGTATTATATATTTATATCATAAACAAATTTTTCAGTGTTTTGCATCTTTCATTAAATATGTTGTTTTTAATATAATGTAGTTATATATAACATTTTTTTACTTCAATTATAAAAAATCATCAAATTTTACAAACATATTTTACTGATCACTAAAAATATATGATTATAGCCCTCTAAATACTTTATTTTCAAATTTTAACCATTCAAATTGATGCAACAAATAAAATATTTAAATATTTATGACAACAAATTTTAGGAACAATACCTGTATATAATGATGTAAATATAGTACACCATATTCGTATAAATTATCCTGAACATTTGAACATTGTTAGTTTTCTAACATTGTTGATCTTGTAACTTGTGAAGAACATCCTGAATCCATTGCACATGTTCAGAAACTGTTGTATATAGAGTGTATGAATAACTGTCACAAGTGCTACTTCCTCCTAGTATTCTTGTACCAAGGCTAACACTAACAATACCTGCTAAGTACCACACTCCATTTTTTTTCACAACAAATCCACCACCACTATCACCATCACAAACTGATGATCCTGCAATTTCCATATTTTGAATAAATTAAACGAGTTACACGTAAATTTAAATAAATAATATATTTTGATAACTATATGTACGATATTTTAATTAATTAATTTTTTACTAACCATTTGTGTAACCTGCACAAAATTTATCAAATGTAATATACTTTTTAGTCTGATGATAATCGCTTGATGATCTACATTTAGTTGCAGACACATATGGAACTGTAATTGATTGTAAGACGAAAGAACTTGCTCCTGAAGCTGTTTTTCCAAATCCTGCTACTTTTCCAACATCCCCCACCTCTAGTCCAACTAAGTCTCGAGCAATGTCTAAACATATTGGTACTAATATAGATGAAAATTTGAATGGTGTTTCAATCTCTAATACAGCTATATCTTCAGCATAATTTCCTTCAAGTCCTCTATAATTACACGTAACGTATATGTTTTTTACCTGCAATAAAGACATTACTGAAACCATCACCGATATTATCTTTAATCAATCAAAATAAAATATATTTACCTTAGCCTTCTTTACTATTATTGGATCATGAAATTGGAAATCATAATCTCTATAAATGTTGCCTGTTGCTATATAATATTTTGAAGGATCAATATCATCATACACACAATGTGCTGCTGTAACTAGAAATTTCTCATGAATAATAGTTGCCCCACAAATAAATTCTTTAGGTTCTTTGAGTGATTTGTCTCTATAGAGTGTGGCATGCCATGGAAATTCAGTAATGTTAGGTCGAGTTCCATTTACAATAAGTGGTACTAAGTCTATAGGTGATACACCACATTCTAAAACATATTTAAATTATTGTTTAGATAGAATTACATGTATATTAATGTTGTACATGAAAAGTATTAATTTACTATACTAGAAATTACTTAAATACAAGCTTACAAGAGATAACTCATATTTATTTTTTAAATAGTATTTTATAGAACAACATAAACAAAAATGTAAATATACTTCATTTAATACTTTAATATACACCAATCGGCGAACACAATATTTTTGTATTAAAATTATTACATAAATAGATATATTAAAATTATATCTGAATTTTCGCATATATTAAGTATACATATTGAATTAATTCATGATGTTACACTTTTAAGATTAAATTCATCATTTTCAGTATTCTCTGATAATATTTGTATCTTTTGTATTCATTCTAATATCAATATCTGGATGAATGTTTATCTCTTTATTAGTATAAATAACAATTTTATCTTCTAAGATTTCTATGAATGTAGAATTATTGTTTTTTACGTCAGTTTGTAACACGACGGGATTTTCATTAACATAAATATTTATTATCAGCGGACCTGGAACGCATTGTATCGGCCTTGGTTCCCATTGACCAGTTTTATTACACCTGGTAACTTCCGCTGTTGATAGTAATGTTGTATCTCGACGATAACTACCACGACATTTCAACCTTGCTTCCGTATAAGGCGAAACACTAGATTGACACGATACATATTGTCCTTGGTATTGACATTTAGCACTTCTTGAATTTGATTCCAAGCCTTCACAGCGTATTTCTGTAAGGTGGGCAGTTATTTAACTAATTTTTTAAATAATACATATCTATGTTTTCCAGTGTAATTCCATACCTGTACAAACTGGAATATTTAATAATTGACCATCCCGAGTACAAAATATCTGATCGCGACCTTTAAGCTCATAACCAGGCTTGCAACTATAAACTAAATATTCTCCTGGCTTTATCTTAGTACCCTGGGAGATGTCACAAAGATCACATGATTGTGAACTTCCTATAGAATCACAACAATGTGGTTTGTATAACTTCCTGTAACCATTTTTTGGTTGTGCTGGTACAGTACAGGTTGCAGGAATCCAAGGTGGTGATACATCAGATGAAGATTCTGTAGGAAAAGTAAAAATTGGTGGAGCTGGTCTAACTGTTGTTGTAGTACCTCCACAAAGTTTTGGATCTTCATCTGAGCCATCCACACAATTTGTAACTCCATTACATTTTAAGTTACTATCAATACAGGCACCATAGAAACAACGAAAGAAAAGCTCTGAGCAACTGTAAGAAGATATATTCATGTTAATAGAAAATAATGAATAACTTGGATTATTTCATATTTTTCAATAATCTGTTATCTATGTTTATGAATATTCTTAATTTTTGTACAAATAAGAAAGTTATAATTCTTTATCCTTACGTAATTGATCCACATTGAATAAATGTTTCATCTGAATTATCTACACAATCAGCATTTCCATCACATAAACTACTTTCTGAAATACACTGTCCATTGTTGCATTTAAACTGATCCTTTGTACATGATGTAGATGCATTATATGAAGCACTTGTACATTTAAACAAAGTTTCATCACTATTGTCAACACAATCTTTTATTCCATTACAAGTTGCATCTCCATCTACACATGCACCATATGAACATCGAAATGCATAACCAGGACATATAATTTCTGGTTTATTACATTCAGCATAGGTTTCATCAGATTTATCTTTACAGTCTGCTCGTCCATCGCATACTAATTCACTTGCTATGCATTGACCATTATTACACTGAAATTTCTCTAGACTGTTAAATAAAATTAACAATGAATTTATTATTTACCATTTACAATTATTGTGAAATTAGTTATTTGTTTATTTTTCGTTAAATATTCTAAGCAGAGTAAATAAATAAGTATCAGTAACTTACCCACATCTGCTTCTTTGTGTATACCCACATTCTATTAAACCTATGAAACAAAAAAAAGATATACTATATATTTCTTGAGATTTTATTTGAATTTTACTTTATGTTTACAATATTCATGGTAGACATTCATATGAAATACCTTTATATTTTATCTTATTTTAGATTTTAATAGCTTAGGAAAAATATTTTGTTGATGATCTAATGCTTCATTCATCACTTGTTATATACATATATTATATACACGTGTATATATATATATGCATACTTATTATCTTTAGTCAAGATAAACAAGAATCTTTGATGGTTCAAGGCCACTACTGGCCATTACTAAACCGGTTTGGTACTTCTTGAATATTCTTTGTTTAATTGCATTTCAATATTGAAATATTAAAGAATGCAAGTTACTTCTTTATAATATTGCTTAATGTTTTAATAAAAATATATGGAAATGAAAAAGATTCTATGTTTATAACAAAAATAAATTAAATTAAAAGAAAGAAAATTATCTGAAATTACAAAAGAAATAGAATTTTCTTCTAAAATTATTTTTAAATCAACTGTTTAACTTTAATTCCATCTTTTTAATTTAATTTAATTTAAAAATATAACGCAAAATGTTTAAGAAAAATATAATAAAAGAATATTTTATACATGTATTTACTTACTATAAGTAATTATCACAATAATTGTAATTTTGTTCTTCATAATAATGAATTAAAACAGCAGTGTAAAATATGGTCAGCTTCTTCATATGGTGAATCGTTTACTAATCCTGTATCAATCTGGAATTACCCGGCCAAGCAACACAGATTCAACAACTATTCATCTATATTTATGTGTGTGTATTTACCAGGAAAATATACGCAACGTAATACGGGCGTAAGATACTTTCCTCCAAAAATTTAATATTGAAAAAAGATTGAAATAACTAATATATTATTTGTCAGATATGGAAAAGAATGAGATAAAAGCATTTTGTTAAAAATAAAGTGAGTCATAACTTATTGATACTGTTAAAACAAATAATATATATTTAAAAAAATTAAATGTGTAAGTAAGTGACAAAAACAATGTCGAAATCAGTTTCTTTGATTTTTTCTTCATATAGGTACCATTATTTAAAAAATACTCAAAAATAAAAGAGGAATATATTTAATATACTGTTGATGCATTAATACAGTAATGTAACTCAAAGAATATATTCAACAGTTGCTGGAATATCTTTTACTGCAAATTTCTTTGGTGTTAAAAAAGATGCAAGCCAGTTTAACATTCTAAATAATATTGATTAAGGTGAATATATTAAATGATATGTTCGATGGGTATACATTATATAAAAAGGATACACATTTTCTGTTATTTCTGTATCTATTATACTCTTCAAAATATATTCCCTATAAAATTTTTCTATTTCTTCATCATATTCATTCCAATCTAATGTTTCATGAATACCATCTTTTCCGTATCTTTCATCATAATATTTATAATGTACCTAAACAAAAACAAAAAAAACATTAACATTAAACTTCTGTATGACTTTTAGGACTAATTTAAAATTAAAATATCTTACAAAATGTAAACTTAATCCTAAGCCTGGTGCAACTGGTACACATATTTTTTCTACTGAAAATGCCTCTTTAAGGATATCATTTGTGAAGATTTTTCTAGAAATTCCTATTGCTATAGTCACCATTTTTCTAATTTGATGTAGCATAAAACTTTGCCCCTTAATTTCTAATACTGCAAATTCCATATCATTTGCAATAAATGTTTCAATACAACGAAAATATATTATATAACGTCGAGCTCTTGGGTCTAACGGCTTTCTGTGAAGAATTTAGAAAATTAAACATTTTTTAATTACATAATATTCTATTATTATGTAAAACAACGTACATTCTCGATGTAAAATTATGAAAATTATGTGTACCCTCTAATAATTTTAGAGTTTCATTTAGATCATCAAGCATTTTTGCACTTAATCGAAATGCATTATATGGTTCTCCATTTATCGTAGAAAGTTGTTGACGTCGTATATCTTCATCTAATACTTCGTCTTCTCCAAGTTTCAAAAAGTCTGGATTTTCGGGGGCCAAAGCAAATGTTGGAAGAACATATCTATATGTTCTAGCATCACACTGATTCTTACTATTGAATCCTTTTGTCACTCTTTTTATACCAAATACTCTAATATCTTTGGGAAGATGTTTATTTATATCTTCTTTATTTACATCATGTGCTAGAAACAGCAATTTTTTAAATTATTAGACGATTCTTTACTTTATCTTTGATAAAAATAAATTTTAACTGTATAATTTTCAAAACAAGGTCATCATAATTGAGATAGCAATTAAAATCAAAAACTTAATATTTAACTTACGTAGTTTTAGAGAAACAATTTGTCTAACTGCTGAAACACCTTTATCTGTACGTGCAGCTCTTTGAAACTTTAATTCTCTTATATCTTCAAATTGGGATTGTGTAATAAAATTAGCTTCCAACAAAGCAGTTAACAAACTCTCTTCTATAGTTTTTGTACCACGGTTTATTTGCATACCAAGATAATTTTTCCCAAGATAACCCAACAGTATTACAAAGTTTTTTCTTTTAACTCTTTGTACTGCATCTTCAGTTTCTTCTACCTTCTGAGCTTTTGTAGCAACTTCATTATGTTCACCAATTACTTGTCGTTTGTTTGACTGATGAACTTTAAGTATATCTTGTTCAGCACTATTGACTTGGATAGACATATTCTTATAATAAATGTTATCTAAAACTAAATTCATATACTTACAAAAATAATTAAATCATCATTATTATTATACATCTACACTAAATTTAATGTATTAGTGTAATGAAATTCATTGACTAATATGGATTTTATTTTACTTACTTTTTTATATATAAGTATACATTAAAATAAACCACTTACCTAACTTAAATTGTATAGAATAGATCGATTTAAAATTATTTAGTAAGCGATATGTTGTACCACAAAACATTTGAGACGAAATGATTCCGCATATATACGGCCTTGTACATACACACGTTTATAACCTATAATATAACAAATAATATGAAATATACAGTTATTTTACATGGGTTAAACGTTGTAAATGTATTTACAAACTATAATAAAATTCAATTTTCTTGCAACAAACAATTGCATATAAACATTACATACATTTCAGGATAAAAAACAATTTAGTTTTTCATTGATATTATAAATACAACTATATAGTTTATGAGTATGTATATATTACATGCAGTAACTAAAGAGACAAAAAGACTAAAATGCTATTGTTCTCGAGAGGTCATGATTTTGGGATCCCAGACACCCCCAGGTGCAGTTAGGTCTACATGTGTGTACTGTGCACGGCGATAAAATAAAACGTACCTGTTTTACCACGTAGTAAAACTAAAAATTATGTACGATATCAACGCATAAAAGTCATAAAAACAATAAATTTCGGTAGTTGTAACAATAATTTGATCAATAAACAATTGCAAAATAGAAAATTATAATTACATAAACTTTATTAAACTTAAATCGAGGTAACCGACTGCGCAGGCGCAGAAGTGAGACGTCACGGTTGCGCGCTCATCCGCTGGAGGTAGCGCGCGCCGCAGCCTAGTCAGTCTTATTGGGGCCGCCGTCGGGTTCGGATCTAACTGTCATATATAGACAGGTGCGAGTCCACGCTTGGATTATTGAAGCATGTGTTCATATATGGATTATTTAAAGTGATAGTGCTTGTGCTTAATGTATTTATTATGTGTTTGTCCATACTTACGGGTATTTTTTAACACGTTTTATGGTGTAGTTCCCCATGTATCTACATATGTACTGCACCCCCTTATGTTATTGAGCATATGTATACGAATATACAGGGAGATTCTCTCGGCGCGCAACATAATAGCCGTGCCGCACAATGGAATCCCTGCTGTTCCGTTTCTTGTCTTCGACTCAGCCATAAACACACACAGAGCAGTCTTGGGTCCGGCGATATGACCCCTGGTTCTCTTTACCCGCAACAACCGCAGGGTTCCATTGTGCGGGGTGGTTATTGTGTTGCGCGCTGAGAGAATCTCTCTGTATTAGCGTGCTTTATAGTGTAATTATTTACGTGTTTTTGTATACTTTTGCAAATGTTTTATGGTGTGATTAATACATGCGTATCTTTAAGCTTGCTTCTGTATTAAATTATTTAGAAAATTTTTAATAATTGTTTATTGCATGTTTGCACGTTTGCATGAATAAATTTGAATAAGTTAACTGTAACATGGACAAAATACGAATTGAGTCCTTAATCGTTTGTTATTTGTTTGTTTTCAGAAGAGTGCTTTGACCAAGACGGATTGCCCAATCTATTCGCATACCACAGCAACGGATTAACCATGGATCAATAGTGGGTCAATCATAGATCATTCTCAAAGATGCGTTACGATAGCAGTGATGCAAGTCAGCCTGATCAATCGAAATCATTTTCTTCTCTTACCTGTGTATTCTAATTCGTTATTTTTTATTATTTCATAGGTGGGTCACTTTCGTAGCTACCTCCACGTGGTGTGACCTGGTAATCGGTATCGTCGTCTAAAAATTTATCAGAAGATAGTTTTTAGAAAACGATACCGAGCTAAACGCTACGATTTCGGTAACATAAAGTAGTAACATAAATCTTTTGAGCAAACACACTTAGATGTGCAATAAATTCATCGAGCTTTTTATTTTTCTTTGATTCTTGTTTTCAAAAGGATCCTTCAATCCTTCAACCCCTTTATGTCGATAGTTATGTCGATATTGCAGAACGTGCGACACATAGTTTATACGATAATAAATCACTTCTTTACCTCATCTGTAGTACTCATACATAGTAGCTTTAGCTGTTTTGTAATAGATGACATCTGTACCAATCGATCTGTGGCGGCCGATGTCGATAAGGAAGATTAGTCAAGATTATTCTCACCGCCACCTTTGTTGAACTATGTTTATTATTCATTTGTTACATTTAAAAACAAATTGGAATTAATTTTATGAATGTTCATTCTTCCAAAAGCCTTTAAACCCAAAGGACGTGTATATCATTATATTAACAATTTCAAATATATTATTACAATTTAAACGCAATTCATTCAATTTAAATGAGGGATAAGTCCCCATAGGTCGATAAGTCGTCGAATAGTTTGCGCCGTTTTTGTAGAGCTGGCGCAATGGTCGAATCTGAAACTACTTTTTTATCGGCGGAAGATTTAATTTTGTAGTAATAATCGTAATTAAGTTTTTGAGGCATTATAAAAGATGCATAGGTCATCTCCGAGAACTTTTCTTTAGAAATTAGAAGAGAACTCGAGTAATCTCATCTTCTTTCTGTTACTATTATTTTAAGAAACAGGCAGTAATGATACACTACAGTCGTAATATCGTTTGATTTTCTACTTATTTGCAAAGAATGTTTAAATAAAACCATACAGATGGAAAATTATTGTATCAATATATTTCTTTACAACGTTTACATAATGTATATTACTGTATATTACTGCTTGAGTATCGCGGGTAACACGGAGTAGTGTCTGTCCAATACTGACATATACTACTTACGATTTCGAAGCCTGTACAATGTACATTTATTCGTCAATATCACAAAACTTCATAATCGAACGTTTTTGTATAACACTCTACATACATTGAAAATATCCTTTGTAGAATTGACGCTTATCACAATTACGCAATTTTTAAAAATACTATTATTTACATTAAATATAAATCTCTGATTACTGAACAAAGTATAACTTAGGAAGAAGATGAAACGTTCTCGCAAGTGTTTCTAAATATATTCAATTTCGGCGGTAATTAACAGCCTTGTAACGAAACATTTAAAATCACTTGATAAAATTAAATGCAAACATAGTATTTGAAAGTATTAATGCCTATATGGAAATGAAATGAAAAATATGTAAATTGTCAGCTATCTCATTACTTCGGAGAACGTTAGTTAGCGAGAACCGTAATTATAAAAACATACTGTCAAGAATAAATAAATTCTAACACGTGGGCTCCATGGGTGGTGCCATGGCGTTCATTTTAGGTGGTCGACCAAACCCACGCGTACCATCTGGACCAGATGGCATTCTCGTCACGTTTTCCGGCAAATGCGTTAACGCAATACCGCTGTTACTTCTAGGTCGACAATATCCAGCCTGTTCGGAGCCAGAGGAACATAACGACAATCTCCTAACACCCACGTCGTAGCCGGAATCTCGGCTGCAAGCGGATAGCCTTCTTATAAAGGGCCCGTAATCCGCGGATCCTCGACGACTAGAAGAATGATAGCAAACACCGTTGCACTCGGAACCGGAACTCGAACAGCAGGAGAAACGTCGATTTTCCGGATAGTAGTAGTTCGGTGGGAAAACTGGGTGGTAATAACCGGTGTCGGAACCAGAGGAACAGGCTGAGTAGCGTCTACCGAAGCTTCCGCTTTCTGAACCGGAACCTGAACCCGAGCAACTAGACAGGCGACGTAGGATGTAACCATTTTCTGAACCTGACACCGAGCATGCGGACAATCGGCGGGATAACCATGCCTCTGGTGATGGGGGTCCTGTAACAATCGAATTCGTATATCGTAACATTATTCAATTCAATGACCTAAAAAAGTAAAAGTTAACTAAAGTCCACCGAGTAAGTACACCTTTCGATTCGGCCAATTTCAATTCTCTTTTTTCACCATAGAAACAAGATTATAAGAGATACAAGTATCATTTTTAACGGTACCTTGATAATGATTTCCCGGATAAGGGTGATACGTTGGGTAGGTGTGAATTGGTTTCTTATGCCTGGCTCGTCCGTCTTCGGGCTCAGATCCACTGGCGCAACTCGATGAATTATAAGTTTCCTCTTTGCCCAGTCTTGTCAGGGCACTTTTCTTTGCTGGTTGTTGTTTCTTCTTCTTATCGCCAGATTGTTGCAACTCGAACACCTTGGCATCGCCCAAGGACATTTGTAAAGCAGCACGAGCAGATGCTGAATCCGTGAACTCGACCATGGCGCACTCCTCGCTTGCCGCCAATTCTGGCCTCTTAGCTATCGCTTGTCTTACCTAATTATCAAAAGACCAAGCGTTCTTATTAATTGCGATCGTCACAATTTCGAACAATTGTTACATAAATGAAAGAATGAAAATTTATGTTACCTCGGCTGGTGCAGGATGACCTGGTCGAAGAACCCTGATGAGAGCGATCTCTCCGCATGGCCTGAAGATTTCAGCCACAGACTCGACCGATAACTTCTCCACCGGAAGTCTAGCAGCTAGAATCGTTCGCGATGGGGTGGTTTGATCGAAAGGTGGCAGAGGATCGATCCTACGGATCTTTGTACCCTGCGGATTCACTTGAAGTTTCTTAGATTTTGCCAAAGCTGCACCCACTACTCTCCAATCTTTGCTAAGGTGTTTCACTCTTTTGAAACTCGAGATTAGCTTCAGAGACACGTAACCCTCCTTGTTCCTTTTCACGTGTTTCAAGAGGAACGCGTCTTTGACGATATTCTCATCGGAAAAGTAAAACTCCACTTGGGTACATATTTTCTCGGTCAACTCGTCGCTCGGTGGGACAAAATCGTCCGCCTGAGTGCTCTTACTTTCTTCGATCGATTTCTCCTGCTTTTGCTCTCTAGAGTCGTTGACGACCGTGTCCTCCTTGCAGTCTGCTCCCGAATCGGGATCAGAACTTATCCGATTCTCCGTCGTATCGTTCAATTTTCTTTCGCTGCTCGTACTTCCACAGTCGGATAGATCAGCATCCTCTCCTTTGGAGCCCCTCCGATCGAACGAAAGACTGACGTCGCTGTCCACCGAAGAAATACTGTCCCTCGTGTCGGATTTCTTCATCGGCGGTGGAGAAAATATCAAACAGCCCACTTGGTCTCTTGACTCCTGTTGAACGTCCACTTCCTCCATCTTTCCACGAGTGTAGATATTCACGAAATACGACCAAGATCCCGATTGTCGGTTGAAAAACACGAACCTCGATCTCTTGCGTTTATCTTTCAAATCAATCCATCAAGAAATTTATGTTCACTCTCAGGCTTTCTTGTTAAACAAACATCGTCTATATTGAATAGCGTAGAATCGAAGAAATTCTCAAAGAGGAGATAACCGAGTATCCTTTCCATAAACAGACGTTTGAATTTGAGTTGCCTAGTGGTTTCTTGTCACTGGACCGATACGTTTGCCGGCACCAAATCAAATCTGCAGAGACAAGCCAGCAGGTCTATTAAACGAACCCGATGGTGTATTAAGGTTGTTTGGAGAGGGAAAACGCGGAGGACAAATGACCTTAATGGAGGGGGGGGGGGGGGACTGTCGTAGGGTTAAACGAGCAATTGCCGAAGGAGGAAAATGAATAAAAGAAAAGATTAAAAGAGCCGATCTTCCCGTTCTCGTTGGGAACGCATGCTCGTTCGCCTCGGAAGGGGAGGAAAGTGGGGGACTTGCGCGATTCGTGACAGTTCAGGGAAGAGTGGCCTTCCCGAAGGCGCGTCCACTTCTTTAAATACTTTCGCCCGCGGGTTGCGCATGCGTGATTATATCATTCGTGGTAAACCTACCCTGAGGTCATGACCTTCCTAAATACCGGTCAAGAATGAAACATCAGGGAAGGTAAGAACCACCCGAAGGGCACTTGGTCAAAACCTTGAGAAATGAAGAGTATCGAATTTGAATTAGGTTCGAATGGACCAAAGGAATTTCAGATGAAAATATTCTTTTCTTTATTTTTTGACACCCTTTTAGAAACCGTTCACTGACAGCTCGCGTAATAAACAATGTTAAAGAGAAAATAGGGCATCGTTTCTTTACTGAAGTTTATAATGATTCACATAAGAGGATAACAACATTGAGCGCATAACAAAAAGTTACCGATCTTTCATTCAAGGGTAATAGTTCTTTGCACGTGACATGAAATGTAATTAACTTTTATATAAAACGAAAAAAGGCAAACTTGAAGATGAAATATTGTTATTGAATATTGAGGTAGATAACTTCTTTCTGGTGGTTCTTATTTTAATTGATTTAATGTTGATTTTAACACTCACCATAAAATATTCTTCGGTATTTCACATAAAAAAGTTTCACGAATCAATCGGGAGAATTTGTGAGTTAAGAAATAGAAAAATAAAAATATAGAACTAGAAGATCGACGCGTACTCTTCAACCACTTGGATCTTGTCTGGGTCTCTCGCGGAAGCCGGGATGTCGAGACAACTGCTACAGGAAGGAAGGATTTTTTTTTTATGGCGGTGGTGAACCTCGGCAACCTCGAAGAGACCCGACGGGCTTATTCACAAACGCTTCGCATTGCATCCGGACGCTGTCAGAATAATAAGATATAGGTCAAGTGCGGCTGGTACCATGTATGGCCATACCTGTAGCGGGGAAGGTTGAAGATACACGCGCAGGTTATCGAATTGAAAGGGTTTGCAAAAAAAGTATCCGTAATCAACTCGGGTATTATTTAATATTTGTTTCTTTAATTAAATATTCACATTAACATGTACAGGATAAGGCAGGATAAAACGTAACAAAATATTATCAGAATTATTAATGATAATGAAAAGTGTAGTTAGGAAAGATTGAAGTATTTTAGGGTGTTTCATTTTTTTTATATATATAACGATGTCAAGGTCATTTTTTAATACTTTTTGCGGAGAATGTTCCCAATAATTGATCTACATTCCTTTATTATTCTGTCAAAATTTTTACTCTAAAATATTGATAAATATCTTGGGGACATTATGAAATATTTGATAGGACTTTGCATACAATAACCAAATTGATGATGATGAATCATTGAAGGCTACGTACCAATTATAGTCCACGTATTCTTCCATCGTTTCCACTTTCATTCTCCATTTTTATATTTCATTAAATTTTAACAATAAATACTTAAAGGATTGTGTAACAGTGATCAGTTTTATATAAGGACGAAAAGAAAAGTAATGAAAAATTAAATGTACCTAACAAAATCAATAGTATTGTGAACAAAATTGGATTAACATTTACATAAAAGTATTTAGAGCTTTGGTATATAACTCTCGCGGTATGGCTTCGTATATTGCGTAAGATATCGTTCCAAATCTTTCGAAAATGTCGCGTCCAAGCAAAATCTTTTATTCGATCGTGTGTATAAGTTTATTTTTAATTAATCACACGCAATTACATAGCTGGTTAAAAGAGAAACCAGGACGCGAACGCTTAGAATCGCGGATCTACCGAGGTCTCTAGGAAGGATCTTAGACTTGAAAGGTCTTTTCATTGATACACGCGTCCTTGTTGATCTCAATGTTCTTAAACAATTCAAGAAGGCCCGTTCTTCTTAAAACAATTCTGCGTTTAATTTTATTGAAGAGAAATACAATGAGAAAAAGAGCATGTTTGGAAGAACATAAGATTCATAGGAGACCCTCCTTTTGATTTCCAATCAAATTAACAGTGGGAGGATAGTAACGTCGATAATTAATCTTAGACACTGATTGATTATTATATGGGTACTAGCGTATGGTACAAAGTGATAGATGAAAGTGAAATAACACGTGTTAGCTATTTCGATCAATCGTAACTGGAAATAAATGCCCCGAGGCATTCGCCAAACATTCTATTCGGTTGTAGCTAAATATCTATATCTATATTTATTATGTATTGTTATTCATCGTTACGAAGGTAAAATCGGTATTCTAGAAAATTTCTTTATATTATTGTGGAATTATAATTTGTTTCAATCGCATAGTTCTCGAGGGTTTCGCGACGATTTCCCGCCACGGAGGGCGGCGATTCCCTGAGGCGATTCTTGGTGTTTGTCGTTTTATTCTACTCGCTGGAGACAGGAGCAAAACGCGAACTGGGTCAGGGCAGCGCACCAAATGGTTGGATCAATTTTATTTTAAATTTATCAAGTCCGCTTCGGCTCCACGGACACGTGTGATCAGTACAGATTTGCAGACGGTGCATACCGATTAAAATGGTACCTTGGCTATGTAACACGAAAAACAAGCAAACGGTACAAATTCTTATTTCTTTCATCGTATTTCGTAGTATTTTTCACCATTGTATTATATCGATTCGTAAAAGGAAATCGCGTAATATATCACACCTAGGACGAGGTCCGTTGTCCTTCCTTTTTTTATAAAAGAAACATTGAAGTTTCCAAATACATAAATCTTTCGTGTAATTGAACGGTTTATTATTTTTATAATCACATACATTGTATGTTAAAATTATATCATCAGTGATTGCATAAAACTATTGCTCTTTCGATTAATTGAAAATTTATATTATGTCATCGATGAAAATGTAATTCATGTTTCTGTATAGAGGAAATGACGGTTTTCTTGTTTTTCTTTCATATTAAGTAAAAGAAGGACATATGTATAACAAATGAAATAGCAGACAGTGGAGAACCACTGAAACTGTGTGAGTCAGACAGAATAAGGTCCAGTATAAGGCCCTGGGGTGATTCGCCTAGACGGCCATGACCATATTACAGGCCAGAGGCCCCCAGTTCTAACCAGTAAACTTACTTCCAGTAACAATTGGCGAAATCGATACCGACAATTCGCTTGCCATGATAAAAAAAAAACTGTTAGTTACGTTCATCCCCTGTTATTTCAGATTAATTCTATTATCTTTTATTAATTTATAAAAGTTAAAATGATTAATAAGAACAAGATCAATAAGAATTCGAGAGATTCATATATTTTATACATATGTTTATTTACATACGCAGACTTACAATCCATTTACATTTACAAAACTCTGTTTTATTTCATTCACTCTAGATATTAATTAAAAATTTACCGTCAGCGGTACTGCGGACAGTGTTGTTTTATTATTGATCTTGAAATATCTGCATGACCTGTTACACACAAAAAATCATTTATATATAATATTTTTCATCGCTATTATTTATAAACAAAGATTCTATCAATATTACCTAATTGTAGTTCTATGTATAAAGCCAACATTATTACATGTATGGGTACATCACAATCCGGACCTTTGGACATCCAAACCTGAAAAAAATAGATAGACTATTAAAATGGCTTATTTATAATTCTGTTATCCATACAAAAATTAGAAATTACCTGTTTTAAAGTTTCTCCTGATTTATCCAGTTCACCGCGAATTGCATAAGCTACAGCTAGGTTGTATCGTAATACAGCGATACCTGTAAGAACTGTCGTCGGGTACCACACTGTAGCATATAATTGATAATCAGTGACTGAAAACTATAAATAATGATTAATAATTTTGTAGTACTAGTTTAAAAATAATTCTTACTCTTTATGGGTTTTGAGATAACTTCATCGCCTTTGTCTTTATCTTTATCCTGAGTTTCCGGAAATGGTACGAAAGTATTCAAATCTTGAATATTTTCTGGCTTTAGATATTCAATTGCTTCACTAATTTTATCCATAAATATCAAACTTTCTGCCGCATATAGATTTCCCAGCATTCTATATGCACCAGGTAATTTATTGATATTTAACAATGATTTAGCATGTTCAAGCGCAATAACGTAATCACCAAGGCATAAACAAACGTATGCGCTTGCAGCCAAGACACTGATTCTCAAATTTAATGCTTCAATGGTTGTAGCTTGTGACATTAAAGTTGAATGTTGAGTACCTAAATTATGACCAGCTGTTAATGATAACGGCACTGTCTGCGAGTTAGCAATTGTTGCCACTGGTACATTAACTTCATTATTATTTGGTAATAAAAATAATGCATTTTTTAGACATAACGATGCAAATTCCAAAGTTAATTGCGGAATGGCAGAAGGGAAACCTTCAGAATGATATTTTACATCTTTGGAAAGGGAAGAAGCTAAAATAATTTTCCTATAAATTCCAGTACCAACAATTTTCTGTACTAAATCTTTTCTTCGTTTTGGAATATTGAAATCAACTTCGTTGGTCTGAAAATGATACGAAAAATAATTTATTTTTGAATACCAAGTTGGAATACAAAGATAAGATACACTTACTGGTTTATGGCAATAAATACAGCATTCTGCAACCCTTAACCATAGTTTAGGATTATTATGAAGTTTTTGTGCAGCTTCCATGAAACAATCAAAAGCAACCGAAGCTTGACCTGCATGTAATAGTGACACACCCAAACTGTACATCAACTCATAATGCCTATTTCCACCAAGTGTGTACAATGGTTGTGTACATAAAGGATCTAAGTGGGAACAATCTCTTTAGATTTCTAAAATTTTTGAAGACAGAGCTGTAAAATGAAGCCTGATTATTACAATTACCGCTGTCTTTCGTTTGTACACTCTCCATTGCGCACCTATTTTCATGTAAAGCTTTTCGTAAATAAAAGCAAGCTAAATTCGGTTTACCCATAGCAAGATGTATACATGCCATGTTGTTATAATACAAAACAGCAGAGGACTCTCCACAAGTTCTATAAGCAATATAAAAATAATAGAAATGTATTTATAATAATTCTAAAGGTCAATGTAAAATAATAAGTAATGTAACATACTTGAACTCCACATTTTCGGATGTTACAGAATTTAATAATTTCACAGCTTTTTTGTAATTTCCTCTTAAATATTCAAGATTAGCTTTTAGAAAAACAGTTGATATATTCTGAAAGTAAAAATAAACATGTAAAAAAGGATAGATTTAACAAAATTTAAGATGAAATATAAAAATATCATATTATCTTACTGCAGGTGTACCCATGGAAACTAAGGTTTTCCATTCTCTTTTACATAGTTTTAACTGATGTGTCATAAGATATATTCTAGCTTTACATTTTAATAGTTTTATTTTAAACGCATCCACAGCTGTATCAACTTCTTTTTTCTGTTCTTTTTGTTCTTTCATAGATTTCATTATACCTTCTTTATCAACAGGTGCAATTTTAGAATTATCTGTAGATATAAGTTGACTTTCTATATAATTAATCAAAGATAAAGCCGCATCTGGTTGTTTTATTGCTATGTGCAACTCTATAAGAAGAAGGCATACTTTATGTGCTAATGATTCTTCTAAAAAAAATAAAAGAACACACTTAACATTATCAACTTACTTTTTTAACAGAACTTGTTATAAATCTTTTAGTTTTACATACCCATAGGTTCTATAAAAGCAAATAATCTATTCATAATTTGAAGTGCAGAATTATATTGTTTTGTATGAAATAGCAAAACTGCTTGATTATATCTCATAACACATTTTTCAATGTCATCTATAGTTTCTGTTGAATCTGTTGTAGACATTTGTCCACATATTGCATTTAAACTCTTTCTTAATACCTCTGTCTTTTTCAAGTCATTTTTATAGCATTCTACTATAACTTTATTGTGCATTACTTTGAGATCTTTTGGCCTAAGGGTTTCTAGTTTATTTAAATATGACAAGCAACTAGTATATGCTCCTTTCTGAAATTCAAATACTGCATTTTGAGCCAATTCACGTTCTTGTTCTGTGATAACCACAGGACCAATATCTTTATTTTGTACTTCAGATGTTTCAGCCATTTTTATCTATTAAACAATGATGTTTATCATGTCATAGAACTTTATGTAGTTCCTATAACGTTTACTCGCAACAATTTAGTATTTAATAATTTTTCAAAACTTCACATTTGACATCTGTAGAGGTTATATCAAGGTTAAAACACTACAGAAAATGTTTGCTTTGAAGAAAATTAAAATATTAACAGTATTAGATTGCTATTAATTCAAACTAATTCCTTATGTATCTTAAATACATTAAAAGCTAAAAGGCTAGGCTTTTATACTCATTATTCCTTTGCCAAACATTGTGACAAGTCAACATGTTATTTAGTACCCAGCAGTTCCCTCTGGATGTATCAAATTTAGCGGGAAATATATTTATAATAGAATATAGCGAATAGAATCATTGGCGCAAAGTTTAAACTCTCTCTCTTTCATATGCGTATTACGTAATATATTTTCTTATTCATGTAATGAAGCGATGGAGCCGAGTATTTGGTAACCCAACGCTCAACGCGCTTCACTTAATTTGTTTATTTTTCTCAATTTATGAATCTCTTGTGTTTAAAAATCTGACAAAGCTTGTTATACACGATATTGATGCCTCTTTTTATTAATTACCATCTACTCTGAAGGGGTGCAAATGGTGCAGCTAGGATTGATAATTGATACATGACTTATGCATATGTACTTTTAAATGACAAATGGTGGAAGGATTCTTCTTCTTTCTTTCCCATTAATCAAAAGAAACCTAATACATATATACCTCAATGTATACATAATAATATATTTAAGGCTTAATTAGATTAACATGTGCGATTTTGACTTCAGAAGTAGAACCGTCCCTGTATACCGCTACCTTTTAGCGTCGAGGATCGCACACGCGATATCGCGTGAGCGGTAGTGAACATATTAAAATCATATTAAGAGTTAAAGTAGAACATCCTTCAGGGAATTTAGATCACGCAATCAAAGTAAAACATTCATTAGTTAGAATAGAACGCACAGTTTCGGCATAACATTAAACAGGAACAGTTAGTTCATGATGAGAAAATGGATCAGAGAAGAAATGACATTTTCTAGGATTTTTTAGTAGTAAAATTGTCAACTTTTAGACCTTTGATTGTCATGAATTATCTGAAGGTTCTTATTATAAGACACATCGTTTTTAATTTGTTGGATACGATCTATTGCATAATGTGCAAAGAACTTAAAACGGAACTATGTATGAAAGTTCTTTATTCTTGATAACAAGTTTCGGATTTTCCATAAAAGAAATAGTAAAGATAAAAGAGAATAAAATAAAGGAAGGAAGATAAAAGAGGGGAAAGTAACGTGGTTAGTCGAGCTCTACAAAGAGAGGAGTAAAGAGGAAAGCAGAGGAGAGGAAGCGAGCCATTGCGCCATCAGGAAGTGGCTCACTACTTACACGAGTGTAGTTAACCGAGTACCGACATAGAGGTTTGTTCTCATTCCGCGACAAGCAAATTTAACGCATTGAGATAAAGGCAGAATATATGTATATAGGATGTATCTATCAAAGTTGTAGGTAAAAAAAAGCTTAGGTAATAGAACTACCAAGCAGAAACAACAAAGATTCAATGATTATAAATTCGCGAATTAATTACTTTCGAGATATTCAATTCTTTATTTTCTAAGTTAAACTCTTTATACTATTACATTGTATCATAGAATGTTAATGTAATCAGTATTTGAAGTATCAGTAATTTACAGGTGATTTTGGAAGGTATTATTTACTCCTCCATACACCAAATGCATCATCTTTGGATTCTAAAACTAAGTACCTTAGTTTATGAATAACAAACAGTTGCACGGGTACTATAACATTTGTTGGCTTAGGTTCTAGATTTTATTAATTATTTAATTATAACAATGTTATTTTATTAATAATAAGTGCGAATATATAAAACAAAACGTATACATCAATCTATTTAATATACCGGTTATGTCGATAACTTAAAATTATATTTACTAAACGTCAATCTGTAATTCTATTAATTTACTGTTTTCATTCACCGCGCATTTATAATCGAAAGATTATCTGATAGTAGTTACTTTCATTGTGAATTTCTTATCAAAGAAGTAAGCATGTATTACGTTTCGTACTTTATTAGTTACGATTAGATTGATATAAGTAGTTGTATATACTATAGATATTACATTATACTGCATTTGTTTATTAATGGAGATATATAGTATGCAACGTGTTATCTACACATTTCGTTGTCTTTTACTATATCAGTGGCAAGTAATTTTTTAACATAAATATTGATAGATTAATAATTAATATTATAGAGAACTATCACACATTTTCTAACCTTACTTTTATTCTGTGAAGGTTAATTAAAAATTAAAGATTATTAAAGCTTTTTTTCAGAATTTATTATTTGCAAATTGTTAAAAAATGGGTACATATGTAGCGAAATACGGCCCTGCTTCGAATCCATTCACAGAATGAATGAACCGCCTCTTCATCTGTTCATGTAGTCACTCAGTAGTGTCATGGAGGTAACATGGCCGAAGAGACGCGCCTAGTTCGCGTTGAAGAAAGATTAAAGATTAAAATCGGTACGAATATTCGTTAGAAACACGATTCAACGGCAACATAGAACTTGGATATATTGCATGATGTGCAAAAATCATAAGAATATTGTAATTTCAAGAAATCGTACACGCGTGCTACTATTCGTTTGGGATGTCATCTAATTCGACTCACACGATTATTATTAAGTTTATTACCAAAATGTAAAGGCATTAATTTTACAATTTACGTTATGCTCTCGTTTAGTCAATCAACAGTTTTGTTCCGCAATTATATTGTAGTAATACTTCTAACTTTTGGTCATTTTTAATGTACGCGTACATTCTCGACTCCCACGCATCGTTGTCCCTACACGAAATATATACTTAACATTAAATAGAATTAATTGTATTTATTAAGATGCCAATATGTAATTATTATTAGATACAAAATAATGATAAGGATATTAACGATTAGTAATTATAACTTTTTTTGTGTTTATTGTTTCATTAGTAAATGTACTAAGATTTGTTTCAATATCAATATCAACATTAATGGTATGACAGTAGAAATTGAGTAATTATGAAAGAATTAAATATTATCATTTGCATGTGTATTTTGTTACATGTTTTCACATAATTTAAGATATTTCATATTTTTTTATTTTATATTACTTGCTGATATAAGTAAAGATCTATGTTATTTTTAATTAATATATATTTTTTTAATCAGTTTTAATCACTGTTACCATTCACAAAGTTACCAAACTCTGTTTAATTTATACATTGAAGATATATATATCAATTATATTCATCTTTATATATTTCATGTAATATCTAAAAATTATTAATCATGTTTAGGTGAAGTAAAAAATTTACAAGGAAGAAGTCATGGATCTCCTGGTGCAAGAGATGTATATTGTACATTATCTCTTGATCAAGAAGAAATATTTAGAACAGCAACAATGGAAAGAACTCTCAGGTGAATATAAAAAATATTACATATTTTATTAAGCTTTTTCTTGTTCTGAAATGTATTTATAAATGTTTATTGATACAGCCCATTTTTTGGAGAAGAATTTCAATTTGAAGTACCTAGAAAATTTCGTTATCTTGGCATTTATGTTTATGACCGGGATAGGCATTTAAAGCAAGATAAAATTTTGGGCAAAGTGGCAATAAAAAGGGAAGATTTAGCTAAATATCATAATAAGGAGCATTGGTTTCCATTGGGACCAGTTGATGCAGATTCTGAAGTACAAGGTAAAGCACATTTGGAACTTGCTCTTCAACCTCAAGTTGGACATGCTCAATCTAAACTTACAGTAAGGTAAATTATACTGTGAAACATGTATTCAATTAATTTTATTAATAATTACAATTAATATGCAAATAAGTAATTTCTTATTATTTATAGGGTTATAGAATGTAATGACTTAACTCTTAAAAATGGTGGCTGTGATCCATTTGCAACCGTGACAGTCATTTATAGCAATGGAAAACAGATATTAAAACGCACAAAAATTAAAAAAAAAACGGTGTCTCCATATTTTAATGAAACATTCACCTTTGAGGTAAAACTGACATAAATTATCATTATATAAATGTTTTATTATGTGATGTATGATCTTGTCTATACTTTTAAAGCCAGAAATAACAGAATCCAAAGAGAAGGATATTTCTCAGTGCCCCATAGAACATGGGGAAGTAGGTGAAGTAGTTGTTGGTTTATGGCATGCATCCCCTGGTATGGGAGAACAACCAGCCTTTCTGGGTGAAGTTAGGATTACTTTAAGAGGCCTACAAAAACAACCAACCAATGCATCAACTGCATGGTATTTATAACATTTATTTCTAAGAGATTGTTGCATTTTAGACTCATGAAATTTTCATTATTTTCTTTATTAATAGGTATTTTCTACAGCCTAGAGCAACAAAACATCGTCCAAATAAAATTTCCAATAGTTCTACTCCAATTGGTGTATTACCGGATTTAGGATCACTGCGATTAAAAATCCATTATACAGCAGATCATGTTTTCCCATCAGCAATGTATGATAAACTTAGGAACTTGTTATTACAAAGTGTCAATGTTCATCCAATCACTTCTTCTGCTGTTTATATTTTGGGAGAAATAGTGGCAAGCAAAATGGAGGCTGCTCAACCATTAGTTAGAGTGTTAGTACATTATGGGCAGTTGGTTTCTGTAATGCGAGCTTTAGCTAGTCATGAAATTTCTAAATTAACGTAAGTAAATTACGTACAAGTGTATTTATAACAAACAAATTTGACCCTTCATGTGTAATTTTTATTAAAGAGATCCAACAACAATATTTCGCGGTAACACATTAGTAAGTAAAATGATGGATGAAGGTATGAGATTGGCAGGTTTACACTATTTACATAGTACACTTAGACCAGCTATGGAACAAGTTTTTCTAGAAAAAAAACCATGTGAAATAGATCCAACTAGAGTGAAGGATGCAAATACGATTCAAACTAATTTAGCAAATCTAAAGGTATGTGACAGAATGAAGATTTGTTTATAATTTTATTATTGCGATAAATTATATACAGTCATATAATTAAATAGGAATATGTGGAAAGAGTGTTTACTGCTATTACAACATCGGGTGTGCGATGTCCACCTTTAATGTGTGAAATGTTTTGGTGCTTAAGAGAACTTGCAGCAACACATTTTCCAAAAAATAAAGAAGTAAGATATTCAGTTATTAGTGGATTTATTTTTCTACGATTTTTTGCTCCTGCAATATTGGGTCCAAGACTATTTGACATTACTACTGAGCAAATTGTAAGT